ACTTAATACCCTCTGCTTGGCTGTGGGAGAAGCTCTGATCGAGACGTATACGACTTTTGACAGAGTCTGCGAGATCCATCGCGAAACAGCTGGGCACGTCCGCAGAGGTGTTAGCCTTCAAACCGAGTAGATCTTCTCGAGGATCCTCCGTCATGTCATTCACATAATCTCTATCAAATGATCTATTTCAAGATGGCGTTTTTCAAATGATAATCTTAAATAATTGTTGAGAGGATACCTTGTGTGGATATATTATGGTTCATGATAACTGTTGTTGTGTAATGGCCGCTCAGGGGTTGTGTTAGTTCCTTCAAGTGGGGGATGCCTCCCCCGCTCATGCGTAACAAGGACAACCTGTTATAGGTATTCATTGGAATACTGTGCCGCGAGGATGATCTCAATATTGGATTCACCTGTGGCATAGTATAAAGTGATATTTCTCGCCGTAGCCGTGCCATTGTCGATTGAGTGTATACTAGGCCAATGTACGAGACTGTACGATGTATAGTCTGGTTGTTGATGCTGCTCGCCACGATATCTGATCACAGCATGCCGTCATTACCCTATACTCCTTCACTCAACTCTCGCCCATATCAAGGAAGCATACTAGATAGCCTAGTGGTATTCGGATACCAATAAGTCGCCAATGAAATGTGATGACGCCAATTTGGGGTTGCGTGCACTCATGCGTGCTACCACATTGACGGAAAAGGGGATAGAATATAGTAACTAGATGGATACTATCATAGACAGCATTACAGTATCTCGCCACATCTCTAGTCATTACTTTGTTATTCATTAGTTGGTGGTATTTCATGGGGAGTAAGCTATCATGCGGATCTCCGTGTGGGAGGTTCAAGCGTAAGAAGAGTATAAACTCGGCTCTTGTTGTGGATCAGCCAGTCGTTGGTGACACAACAGCTTGTAATGTTTGCAAGCAGCCCAACTCTGTTGGGTAGTGCAGGAAATATGCCTTACTACTCGAGCAACACACATTCCTTCGCAGGTATAATGCTAATGTATTTGTATGTGGTACTTGTCGGTCAGTGAATAGAATCCATAGGTATGGCAATGGTGAGCGAAGATTGAGTACAGTAGAACCGACTTCGAATAATGAGGTACTTTTGTCTTGTTTGTATAAGGGTGATGCATAGTTGAATGGCTGTATCAGATACGACTACTAAGGCACAGCTCAATGGTCTTTGCATTTCCTGACAATAGCAGGGCATTCCCTCAGCCTAGCGGTCCTGATGATAACACGATACCACCGTGCGCTGTCTGTTTGGATAACCCTGGGGACATTGTAGGTTCTCCTTAACCACTATCATGGTGCATCTATTTGTCCTAGATCTCATTACCATGTTGTCATGGCGGTCTATGTGAGCCTTGCGCCCTCCATATAGCAAGCAACGAGGCCGTTGGTGGAGCATGCTGTCCGAAGTGTCGTGCTAATATAGACAAGCTGGTAGTACTCGATCGTGATGGTCATCCCATCTCCTTCCTGTCCGCTCGTGATCGTCATCACCAGGTCCGACTTGCCAAGTTGGCAGATCCAATATCTACCGGTGTTGAATTGTCGATACCAGCGTCTAGCAAGAACCGACCCGCCCCGAGAGTACCAGCTCCTCCAGGATCAAAGAAGAAGGTGGTAGTGTCACCCAGACTAGTGTGATAAGTATATTCGCTTCGAACTTTCAGCATGGGAAATAGACACCGCATGCTCGTGTGGGGGAGCGTCACCCATCATCTCTCGGAGTGTGATAAAGATTATTACGTCTCGGGTGACTTCAACATGGACAAGACTTCAAATATGAACCTCATATTTTCAATCTTTTTTATTATTAATGATCGACCATCCCTGGAATTTGTATTATGATTGTGAAACCCCGTTCACTACTACACTACTTGCGTTGTCTGTTGTATGATTGTGGCGATGTTCGCTGATACGCAACTCCGCCAACGAGAAGGGGTCTTGATGATGCTGCTTAGACCAATCTGAATAGTTCATATTCTACCTGTGATGGTAGAACGTATGGTAGTATGGTGCTATTCGCTTCTATTTAACGACAGGTAACGCTTCTATTTAACGACATTCGCTTCCCTCTACATAATCAACGACAGGTATCGTCCGATCTTCTACGACTCTGTCAGTTTTTGCGTTACAGGATGCGGAACTGTTCTTGGATTTGGGTCCTCATAGGTTGTGAATTTCCTTCATTTTCATATGAACTATGGATTCAACAGATGCTGTAATATGTGAGGAAGTCCTTGACCTTCTTCAGAAGACTTATAAGACGGTGTGTGGGAAGTGAGTCTGTCTTTCATCGGCTCATCTTCGAGTATTCTCTGTCAGACCAACCTCTTCTCTCGTTGTCCCGTTCGAGGTCCTGCATTTGATATCAGATGAAGAATGGCACTGTGTTGTCGAGTCCATCAAAGATGAAGTTGGCTCGAGCGTTATCGCCTCACTCACAGCAGGCAGTGGTGGATTGGCTCTAAGCCGTCGGCTAGGTAGTGTTGCTACTACTATACGAGGCAATGAGTGTCTACAATTTCAGGCATACTGCGAGAACTCCTTTGCTTGGTACAATGTCATAGACTCATCGAGGGCAGAGCAAAGAGGACCGGCGAGCTTGGCCCCCCAGGAGTGGTAGTACACTAGGGTATGGAGCATTCGACATGCGAGGTGGCCATCTTGCCGATATGCGAGGAGTGCTTCTCATCCAGGTTCGATCTTTGCGTTTACCCGGTGTATCGAAGTCGGCGCTATCCTTCACTGAGTCCATGGATGTCGGCACCATCAGCCGTCATGACCATCTAGCCCCAGCTACTCTGGATTTGCGTGATGCCCTATATTCGGAATACGCCGTCAGAATAGACGACATGCTCCGACGCTTCGCCATAGTGTGATGCGATGACGCAATCAAGAAGTCAGAGCTCTGCCTAGTGAAGAGAGGTGACCTGGGAA